TTTATTTAGGCCTATCTATGGCCTTCAAAAAGTTGACGACTCTATATGTTATAGATAGGCCTAAATAAAATGTTTTTAACTGTGTACCAGTTTAACGTATGATTTTAACTTTATACACAAGTGACAAAACATTGTAATGATTTATCAGCCAGTACATAGCTTATTTATTTTTAAATACAACATCACATTTAATATTTTACCTTTTATAATGTACATATTTTAATGGTATTATGAAATGAACAAAAAAAATAATTATTTCTTTACTAACCAGTCATTTCTTCCTTCTTTCTAATTTGCAATGCTTTAGCTTTGTGTCTATCAACTTTACGAGGCTCACATTTTTCACAAAGGTAAGTATCGGGAATACTGTTCCTGTCAAGCCCCATGCAGTCAACATGTTGCCACACACTAATTAGAGAAATAATTTACTACTTGTATACACTGATCTAATGACAGGTATCTTACCAATTTACCATAAAGCCTTCATACTCTGCAAAGATTACCAGTCTTGGTCTACAAAAATAACAATTTTTGGCTTTTCTAACTATAACACAACCTCACACTAACATTACATAACAGTTCTAACAATGCATAGTTTTTGTTGATAAATGTCTTGCTAACTTTTGATAAACCACATATGCACCTACACTTAATGGGCAGAAACAGAAATCTGACTACTTTCAAATTCATAAGCTTATTTCAAGTCTTCATAATCAAAATTATACTTTGCGTGTCTAATAGTCATATCTAAATAACAGTTTATATTTTGTTCAAAACCAGTTTGTCAAACTACAAATTTTCCAACCAGACTAATTGTAGCAAAATACGCATGTCCTAAGAGTATTAATACATTTACAAATCTTAACGATAGGAAGGAATTAGATATACATTAGTCTGATTAAATACCCTAGAGATTACTAATACACAAGGAATTAGATATACATTACAGTGATTAAATACCCTACTAATTCCTTGTGTATTAGTAATCTCATATACATTAGACTGATTAAATACCCTAGAGATTACTAATACACAAGGAATTAGACTAATGTATATCTGGTATTTAATCGATTAGTAATCTCTATTGTGTGGGAATTAGAT